AGAGAGAGAGAGGAGAGAGAGAGAGAGAGAGAGAGAGAGAGAGAGGAGAGAGAGAGAGAGAGAGAGAGAGAGAGAGAGAGAGAGAGAGAGAGAGAGCGAGAGAGAGAGAGAGAGAGAGAGAGAGAGAGAGAGAGGAGAGAGAGAGAGAGAGAGAGAGAGAGAGAGAGAGAGAGAGAGGAGAGAGAGAGAGAGAGAGAGAGAGAGAGAAACAAGAATAGAGAGCGAGAGGTTTTAACTTTTCAGCACCACCAAATTACATCAATCCCACAAGTCAAACGAAACACAGTGCTTAGTTACTTGTTGATATCGCTGGTCAGATGAGCACCATCCCCTGTGTGAAACGCCCCCCCCCCCCCCCCCCTCACACACACATCATACACAGACACACACGCACACAGACATGCACCACATAGAATACTAGTGCTCACAGGAAGAAGGCTGGCGAGTACTGAAGCAGCGTGCTCGCACACGGCACGCCGGTACCGTCGCATTGGTGCCTTGTACCAATCCAGGCACTCGACGTTGTAAGCGAGAGAGCCTAATACAGCGGAAGCAGACGGTCAAAGCCCAATCGATAGCAATTAAGCAAGAGATAGTTCTCAAAACACCCTCTTTATATCCATGGCTAGAAACACTGGGCTTGCGTAGCCTGCAAGACCTTTTTTGATGGCTAGTACTTTGAGTAAGAGTTAGCAGCGATTTTGTAGCTGTAGCTTCTGCGATATCCTCCCTGTTCTCCTTAAAACTGCAATACTGCAGCAGGTCAAGTCGTTGAGTGACACTTCGTCCGAACAACCCTATAATTTCAGTGAATCCCCGTTGCATTTATCGTGGCACTGCAGACATTTCATGATTTGAAAACCAGATAGATTCTACGGCATTACCACAACACGGAGAACGAACTGATATGAAGACGACTCATTTATCGAGTGGCAGGAAATCTCGACAGACGTTTTTCTTCGATGCAAGATAATGACAATCGCTTTAGCAGAACCTCCTGGTGAGACATAGGCAGTTTGCCAGCATTGCAGACGTTTTCGTACGCATTCAACCTTTATGACGGTTTTGTACAACTTCATTTTAACCCGAAAAAGACGAAAATAGTATGGACCCGCTGGGGTGGGCGTTTGCTGCGAAGTGGGCGTTTGCAGCGGACTTAACGGTACTCCCGCATAGGGAGCACTGCTCAGTCTCAAAACCAGACTGGAGTTGTTTGAAAAATCTGATGGTCCTGAACTTTCAAACACACGGTAGAGCTCTACAAGGTAGTAAGGCACAGTGCGTTGTACTAATTTCACATATATCTACACGCTGTGCATCTTTTCTTGAACGTGTCATGAAATTATCGTACCAACACAAATCTGCAGATTTGATTGAAAGATTACAAAATTTTGAAGTGAAGAGTAACATTCGCATTGGCCATAAGAATCGTGCTCCCTACTGCCAGTGCCCTCTATTTCATTGCAATTTCTTTAGGTTCGCCATCTTTTTCCTGTTCGGTAAGAATCATCATAATGTCAAATTCATGTCAGCTTTCAATTATTATTATTTCATCGAAATCTGCCACTACCATTTTAGCGATAACACATGAAATACAGGCGAATAAGGACCCACCTTGAAATCATCGCTCCTGCGGTAACTCAGGAAATCGCGGGGTATGATTATACCACTCAGTGCTCGCTCGCACTGCTATGTCCGATCAATTCGGAGATAATGGCTCGGTGAGAAAATTTCAAAAGGAAATTATTCTTTTCCTTTTCTCATCTCCATTCAAAGGCACAGGACATCCCAGGCCCAGCGATACTTTCTTGGAAAGTTGGCAAATGCCACTTAGTAGATAGGTACCTGTTGCAAGGAATGAACAGGTACCAGGTTTGCAACGCTGATTCTAGAGCAACTTTCCCTGCTCCAAAGAGGAGTCCTGACTCGGTATCCCTGACGTTTTGGTCATTGATCACCATGATCACAGGCTGCACTGCATGTAGCATTGCTTCTCATGCTCAGCTCATGCATCTCACTCAAAAGGAAGTGCACGTGCAGCTTCATTCACCTGTTTGAGTGACGTGTCAAGACAAGAGACCATAAACGATGGACTTGCTCTTCAAAAAATTCTTCTCGACTCTCGTAGTCGTACCGGGCCGTGTACCATGGTGTACGGGAAGAGTCTTCTTCGACTTCGTGTACAGGCGCACGAGCAGAGAGGGGGGTCGGCAGGGAGGGGTGGAGCCTGGAGGAAGAGGGGAGCTCCGGAGGAGGAGGGGGCAAAGCGTACTTGTGCGCATGTCACACGTGGGGTTGGGATACTAACACATCATGTAGCAAAGAGTGACGTCCACAAGGCTTCCAACGGAATGTGTTGACTCGAACTTCATGCAGCCGATCATGATACATGTACAATCATGTAAGTGATACCAGTTGAAGCCAAAGGTAATCACTTCGAAGTACCTTTACAAAATTTGAAAATAAGTGAGGTGCAGATAAGGGTGCGTTCAGACTCCTATCCCAATCTCAAATTCTCCCCATTATCGTTTGCAAAGCCGGTGCTCCCCTCTTGGATGCACATATTTCTTTTCTCCTATGTATCGGCGCACAGGAGTAACGATGATTCCGAGACCTTTGGTCGGAGGAGTTACTTTTGCCCCGCCCCCACTTCCATCCAATATGCCACCGCCCCCGCTGTGCAGCATCTGATGGTTCTGTGGTATTCAGTAAAAAAAAAAAAAAAAAACTACCGTGAACCCGTCAAACCGTGAAGGACATTCGCACTACCGATAAACCAAGTAACGTTACGTTACGTAAGTTTTGCAGCTCTCACCGCGGCACTGAGAAGGGATTTTCACTTTTCCCAGCCTGAGCACTTTTTACTGCCAGAATGCAGTTACCGCCGCAGCAGCCGCGGCAGTAAAACTTTTCCACCGGTAGCGTGGCAGTAACGTCACGTGATCAAATCACCTTGGAAACTTTCCCAATCGGTCACTTTTATCGGTAGTCTGAACGCGCCCTAAACGAGCGCCGCATGAAACTGTATCAAGGTACTCCACGGCACGCCATCATGCGATGCCATCATCATGAATAATTCATGATACATACATGTAGAAGTAAATAAAGCCAGGCAGTATTTAAGGATAAACTTTTCTAAGCACTCGCAGACTCCATTGCAGCCATTCACACATTACAGGGCACCTCACTTCAAACTCTCCAACTACGGTCTCTTCGTTGCATAAGTTCACTTCACTTCCAAAAAAAAATATATTAGATATAAATGGAATGCACCACATTTTCGGGCATGTATAAAGGAGCAAGATCAAAGCCAGTTTGAAGATGAACCAACGATCTGGCCCTGCCTGCCAGTCAGCCTGAGTGCCACCATTCAATATTGAAATCCTGCAGCAGCCACGGCACGCCCGGACACTCATGATTGACCCGGGAAATTGAAAATTCTGCAAGACAGACGGACCTGCCGGGGCCACACCAGATCACATTCAAGCCTGATAAAAAAAAAACACTCGCCAAGCCGGAGAATAACCATAATAAACTGAAGTGTTTGCTCACTTGCCCAGCCGGGAATATAGCAAATACATTTAGCAAGAGACAACGAATAATAGACTGTGTCGGTCATGTGTGCCGTGTGCCGGAGTCGGTGCGATGCCAGAACAGACAATGCGGAACACGATACTGTGACACACCGGACTGACACACCGGACACCACACTACTAGTAGTACTGACTAGCTTGGATTGAGTCGAAGGATACCAATTATTTTAAAAAAGTTACTGCAAAAGGTTTGTTGTGTTGACAATTTGAAACGTACTGTGATATTGGAAGTTCGATGAGCAACAAAAGTTACAAAACCATTTGTAGCCAATACCGGCACACAAACATCGTACTGACAGAGTACTGTATAAATAGTTGATCAGACACATGCAGCGGACACAGCAGCAATACGACAGCGCTATCGAACCCAGACGTAGACCATGAAGCACCTGTCCCGGTCAAATCCAGATCTATATTGGCATGAAGCACCAGTGTCGCACACAGACTTATGCTCAGTCGATGGCGGGCTCCACTACGCATCTTCCCCGACGACATCATGTACAGTGTACAGTTGTAGTTCAAGTAGTTTAGCTAGTTGTTAGTCCATCCAATGCCGTCCATTGGCCTCAGTCATGTGGTGAATTTGAGGTTGTGGCCTCCGGTGGTGATGGTAGCAATGGTTTTGTGACTTCCTCAACGGGCTTCTTCTGCATACAGTGAGGACAGCACACAGGCAAACCTTTCAGCTACTGTCAATTGACACATTTTGGCCCATTCAAATTTCGGCCTCCCAGGTCTAAAAGACACATTTCGGCCGCATCAAATTTTCGGCCTGTACTGCTGCCGCCTGTGTACGCTGTCACACTGAACCTTGCAAAACAAAATTTCGGCTAAACATGACCAGGCCGAAAATAGCCGAACACAAAATACGCGCCAAAATAGTTGTAGACTTACAGTAGTAAGAGCACCAAGGAGTGTGTAAATATTGCATGGTTTTTCTAAACTAAAACAAGGAATCGGAGACAGTAACTTTCTGTCTTTGGGCTAAATGAGACTTGACGCTCCGGCTGGACGGTACATGCAGTGGTGATTGGAGTGTGGTGTCACATTCAGTCTAAAGTGAAAGCAAGTTTAAAGGGCACGTTTTGTTGGTACAACCTAGAACAGGATTCACCAGAACAGCGCGTTTGGTTGGGACTACACCTGTTCTGGATCGGCCAGGACATGTTCTGCTTGCTCCGGTACCCCATCATCAGGCATCCCTCCTAATAACGGAACCCATACGTTGGTACAACATCTGCCACTTACGGTTTTCCATCTGCATCCATACTGCAAGGAGATGGTGAGGGTTCTGCCCCGGTCAGGCCTCTCATCACCTCGCCCGTATTCCCTGTCGTCATGTTCGCCGGGAGGCAGCGGTGGCACTTCCAGCAATACCGGCGAGCTGGGTGGAGCGGGTACAGTGTGCCGTATGTCAGCCAGTTGCCGCGCTGCATCTATATCGTTGACGCAGTACAGCACAGAAACCCAGTAGACAGTCCAGCACCCATGATAAATAATGTTAACATAGGAGGGGAAGGTGAGCGCAACTAAGACAAGCACGAGCTGAAAGTCTCAGCTGTGACTGAGGACGTTGGTGGATGCACATGCATGTCGAAGACGATACTGGAAAGACCGTACGACTGCCAGTTGCCATGCTGCATCTACAGCATTGCCGCAGTACAGCACAGAAACCCAGTAGACAGTCCAACACCCATAAGAAAATACCAAACAGTGCACGTCCCAGGACATCATTCTAAACATTCACAATCCCGATGCTATACAGTCTAATGCCCATAAGAAGAAGAAAACTATCAGTGCACCTCCCAGGACTTCTTTAAGTTAACATTCACACTCCAGATGTTATAGTGTCATGTACAATGGAAATACATAGTACCCAAAATACCCAAATCTGATACAAACTGCACAAAAAAAGGAATCCTTCTTTGGTCATTATCCGGGAAGTGAAGACATGGATTTAGCCGGTTTCGCATTCCAGTTCTTCGTAGACTTCTATGAATGTTGAACCTCCACAGGCTGCAGGAAAATTGATGTCCAGTCATTTAAAACAGCACACTGACGACGGTGTACTAGCTACACACACTGAGCCAGCATACTGCTGGTCATAGTGAGTGAGGTGTGGAGAGGGTAATTTACGGTGATACGGTACGGTTAGCCAGTCTTTGGTACAGTTTGCTTGTTGGGAGGGGTGGCTCTGCTTAAAATTTCGCGAAATTTAGAGTCCAAATCAGTGCTTTTGATTGATTCACGGGGTGCCTGGGGACAAAAGTGGTACGGTTAATACCAGGGGTGGATCCAGGAGGGGTTCCAGGGGTTCCACGGAACCCCCTAAATTTCGTAAATGTGCTACTGGCAACCATAATTATTCGTCTCCATGTACATGTACATGTATCAGCTATTCAGTTTTGACTACACTAGAACCGCCCTGTAGAGATCGCTGGATCCGCCGCTGTATACCGTATTGACCGTAGAGTGTGTGACGCCCCTGGGCTAGACCTCGGAGAGTACATCCGCAGCAGACTGTGATAGTACCTACCAGGCCAGTTCTTGATGTCTTGGAAGTTTCTGTGAGGCACGTTCTTCAGCATGAGGCAGAAGCCAGCCCAGGCCGGCAAGAGCTTGTGGAACACAGCCGACTGGAAGTGCAGCGCAACATGCGTGCACGCAACACACACACAATGTCATACACATGCACGCACACACGCACGCACATGCAAGCACATACACACGCACACATGCATACATGCACGCACACACACATACACACGCACACAGATGCACACATACACGCACGCACGTACACACACACACACACACACACACACACACACACGCAGGAACTGACACTAGCAGCAAGGGCACACAATAAACCAGTAAGATGACACCATGCGAGCTGCTGATCATCGGTTAACGCTAAAATGACATTTACATGTTTAGCTGATTGCTCAACAGGGAAGAGTGCCTTAGAGTGGTGTGGTGAAGTTCATGAAACACCTTTTCTTCTCTAGACAAGAATGACACGGCTGATTGACCGCATATACCGTAATGCAGTGTATTAAAACCGGGCTTATTCCTGTAGATGCGGATGTCAGAGCTAGGCTTATATTTACATCAGGCTTATATTCACATCAGGCTTCTATTCACATCAGGCTTCTATTCAAGCCAGGTACTTGTAGTTCTATGTGTGTCAACACTAAAACCAGGCTTATGTGCCGGCAGTGTATCTTGAAAATCAGGCTTGTATTCGAAACAGGATTCTATAATTATGATATATGCTCTTAATGCAATAGACTACGGTACCTGAGCATAGGTCAGTAGCTTTCTTGCCCGGTCAGCGAACATCATGCGTTTGATTATGGCGGTTCGGTGCGTGGTGCGAATGCTGCGCACGGCCAGCATGATGTCGTTGGCAAACTTGGGCGTGAGGTCGACTTGGAGCCACGGCGGGAAGCACGAATCCAGGTACTTGTTGACAATGGCCTCGCGCTTCTGCATAGTCATATCCTTTGCAGGGAGAAACATGCCGGTGGGGAAACACTCAAACAGGATGGTGTAATGCAAAGTGTATTATTGCACAGCACTGCCCAATGAAATCCAGTCGCCTCCCCCAAGTACCCGCCGGGCGTTGCATTGCCCCAGACTTGCGAACACTGAGCTGCGCAATAGCGCAAGGCACACACTTGAGTGACACGACTGGATTTCATTGAGCAGCGCTGCACATTCCCACACTCCAGCATAGCTACCCGGTTCAGCTGTAATCCACTGTGGTGCACTGATGAACACAGGCAGGACGAGACAGTAACGTCTGCTGATCGGGATGTATGAATGGAGTGCATAGCCCTTTTACTTGGTAGGCGTGAGTGCATGAAGTGTCAAGTCGGCAGGAATTGCTTTAGGTCCGGGGTTCAGGGAGCAGTTCCTCCAACATTGCCAAAGTCGTTACCTCTATGTTGTACAGCTCTTTAGCATGTTTACATGAATACGCACTCTTCTGCATTTTTCAGCTTTTGGCGAGCACAGGCCCAGCCTACGGGGTTGCGAGAAGACAGCAATGCCTGAATACTCACAGCTCTCCTGTAACGAGATTAAGTGTACTTCCGTGAGCAACAATTGTCAACTGGCAGATTTGTATGCCAGTATATCTAGTAGCACTGCATACCAAGCGACTTACAGCTAGCTTGGCCTGGTCCTCAAAGCCCTGAAGTCAAGTACAGTGCACCGAGCAAAGACAGACACAGACACAGACACACATTGCAGTGTAAAGAAAGCGGACCAATACAGTACAGTCGGTCGCCGAAGAACTGTGGGGGGGGGGGGGGGGGGGGTCAGCCTCCTAGCCTAGACCATTCTTATTTTCATGTACTGTAAGACATGTATATATAACGAGGAAGCAAATCTAACGTTTTAACGGATGACATTTCTTCGTTATAATAAGATCCGTTGAAGCCGTACTGCTTCATATATGCTGTGTGTGGATATGGCAGAATACTGCAAGATCGTTAACATATCTTCTCGTTAACCTATGAATTTTGGACAATCGTTAAATTTGCGACTCGTTATAATAACATGTCTTACAGTATTACAGTCTATGCACAGTGGAGTCACCGTGGGTACATTGGTATGCTGTGCTTGGTGAAATTCTAGGCTTGCTGTTCTTCGGCGCTCATAATTATACAGGTGCACGTTCACACAAAAGCAAACATGCTCGGTCGGGAACACACGGGCACGCATTGCCCCCTCCCCGGTACAGTACTGTCGGGCGCCGAAGAACGACCAGGTTAGAATTTCACCAAGCACTGCATAACTGTTACCAATGTACACACAGTGGCTCAACTGTGCACAGACTGTAGGACATGAAAATAAGAATGGTCTAGACTAGCTAGCCCCTCCCCCCAGTTCTTCGGCTACCGACAAGACTGTACACAAACACACACGCACGCACACACACACACACACACACACACACACACACACACACACACACGTACATGTATAATTATTATAGCAAGTGTGTACATGCACATACATCGCCCGTACGTCCCGGACAAGCACACGAATACTGTCTCACCCTCAAGCGAGTAATCTCCACGTGGAAGTTCAGATCATTGGCGTAGAACTTATTGGCATCAGCTCTGCGTGTGCACAAATGAAACTCAAACTGCTTGATCTTTTCAGAGTACACGCCCATAGCGCATTTCCTCAGCTCCGTGCAGAACGAGTTGAAATCCTTGCCCGTCGGCGTTACCCGTACAATGCCATACTACATAGGTGAAAGAGCACGAGCGAATGAGTGCATGCACATATACATGTACACACACACACACACACACACACACACACACACACACACACACACACACACACACACACACACACACACACACACACACACACACACACACACACACACACACACACACACACACACACACACACACACACACACACACACACACACACACACACACACACACACACACACACACACACACACACACACACACATAAACACACACACACACACGCACATAAACACGCACACACACACGCACATAAACACGCACACACGCACACATGCACACGGGGAGGACACCGCAATGACGATGTCATCGCAAGAGCCGGGTACTGCCTATAAGTATAACATTGAAAATGTCCGTAGCTCCGAATCACGTACGTTTTGATGGTGAAAGCCCAGGACCAGAGCTCTGGCACATGGCGTCACTATTTCCACAAAAATAATTCAAAATAATTGAACGGTCTCTGCCGGGACAACAACTACACCATAGCTCAGTGGTTAGAGCATCGCTTGCTACTAGCGAGGGTCCCTGGTTCGTGTCCTGGTGGTGACAGTCAATTTTTTCTTCAGACTTTTCCCGCTTGCGTCTTTCCCTCAAACCAGTGAAGAAAAGTAGTAATATTTCGACAAGAAAGTAGTAATATTTCCCCAGAAAGTAGTAATATTTCCACAAGAACTCTCCCACAGGGTGTCCGCTAGACTGAGGTGTCGGTAATTACTTGGAGGTGCGGACAAGATAGGTAGAGGTGTACTGAGTCCGGCTGGTGGCCTGTTTTACTCACCTCCCACCGCTTTAGGAGCTGCATCTGAGCCTTAGATCATTGCAGGGTGGTGGTGTTCCTATGGATACTGAACACTCAGTCTAACCGAGTCTCAAGCGAACCGTGACATTTTAATTGAGCCCAGAGTTCATTCACTCATGTGTTGTTGTTGTTACACATGACAGTTCAAAAGCAATGAAGCAATCCTTCCGGAATCTGCTATCTCTCGCCGGCCATGCATGGCTCATGACGAGAACATAACGATTTCAATCCAAGCACTTACGCCCCAGCCTAAAGGCACCTGGTCACGCGGGTACACCGTCAGGATTGCACGCGTCTCGTCCGCCGGGCTCTCGTAAATCTCGCCGTGCCCAGTCCCGGTGTCTGCACGCTTCCTCTGGATATGTACGAGAGAATACCATTATTACCTGCAGGAAGTGATGGGCTTCAATGCATATACACGTCCCATGCTAACATATCGCCATGCTCAATATGCACTTAATCAAACTGACAGAGCATGTATACAGTTGCCCAGGTATAGTGTCCGTATTGTTTATGTAGCTGCTAAGGTATTGTAACTGTGATTGGTTATGTAGCTGCTAAGGTGTTGTAACTGGGTCATTAAACAGTGATTGGTTATGCAACTGCTAAGGTATTGTATCTGAGTCATTCAAATAATAGTCGGATTTGTAGCTGCTACGGTATTTTAGGGAGCAACACACAATTCCCAAGTATCGTCAACGTCGTGCCAACCTCTTCTTCATAAGATATTGTATCGGAGTCATTAAACATAGATCGGTTATGCAGCTTCTAAGGTTTCGTTTCGGGGTCATTGAGGAGTGATCGGTTATGCAGCTGCAGAGGTATTGTATTGGGGCCTTTGAAGAGTGGAAGCTGGATGGTCGTCTCAGTTTGCTCTCTATCATTAACGTGCTCCTGCAGGTCCTTGGCTATATATTGTATGGCTATGTAGCAACTAGCTGCATTACTGGACAGGTACACATAACTCATATCGATTTGTTTCTCCTTCTTCCTTCAGCCATTGAATACTGATGTGTCGGTATGACAAGTTGAACATTTTAACAACAGATATCGACAATCCGTTGGTGAACTTACCGCTACAAATCTAGCAAACACTCCCTTCAGCTTGCTTCGAACAAACTCGCCAACCAGACGATACTGGTCGCGTGTTGGTGTTGGGCCATGCGCTTTACCTGCGGGGCGGAATATGGCTTCAATTTCACGCGGAAGAGCGATAGCCCTAGCAGAGAGGAGCAAGAGATCGCAATACAGAAATAATTTTGGTATCGCAATCGAGTGTATGCCGCATGGGTGTAGTTTGCCCCCCCCCCCCCCCCCCATTAAGTCATTCGTTCATTTGACCATTACTGGTCTACCCTTGTTAGTGCAACATTGGTTACAAGACTAACTTCATTAGTAGAGAACAATCCAAACCTCCCTGATGCCTGAAATGAGTACATGCAAGTCCAAATAGTAGATAAACTCGTTATAATAGACAACAGTTTTGACCCCCCCCCCCCCCCCCCGGGGGGTTGTCTACTAACAAGGGTAGACCTGTACTTGACTGGATATGCGTGTAAGGTATGGGATAAAGCAGTAGCGTGGACACACCTGTCGGCTCACCTGTATAAATGCAAAGATATCCGCACACATGAGCGCAGCAGCTATCCACATGGATTGGCACAAGTGCATGCACACAAACATGATCACAAACAAACACGTCCACAGAAACATGTCCCGTTCACACACAAACTTAACCCACAAACATGCCCCCCTCCCCCCCCCCCCCCCCCTCCCCCCCTCCCCCGACACACACGTACAGCTGCAACTTGGAACTAACCTTTCTGCATTGTTACCAAGGAAGAACCTGCAGCATAAGAGAGAAGGATAGCGTGAAACACAGAAACTGGACATAATGTGCAGACTCATCTGCCTACGGTCAACACATTGCTGTGAAACCTGCATAAGACGACCGTTCAAGGGACCTTCAAAACGTGGTCTCCATAACCAGGTGGTCTCCTTATCCAGGGTCATTCGACTGGAAATAGCATCCCTTGGTCCTGATTGCAGTGGTCTTCTAGGACAGGTGGTCGTCGTATCTGAGTGGTCGCCTTGACAGATTTTACTGTATATTGCGGCTGTACTTGTACTACAGTCAGACCTCGCCTAACCGCACACATCCGTTTTCCACAAAATATCCGGATAGGCGAGGGAACCGGATAATCGAACGCACATACTGTGTGTATGCATGCCATATGCTGTAAATCGGTAACCAACGATTTTCTTCCGGATGGCGAATGATCCGGATAAAAGAGGACCGGATAAGCGAGGTCTGACTGTATAAGCATTTCTGCATTGAAGTGTAAGAGACGTACGCTGAGTCCACACCTTCGCTTACACTGTACTTGCACAGTTGTTGGCAAAAAAAACTCAGGCCAATGTCGATCCGTGGATACGGTGGTATGGTACGCGTTCACCGCGGCGCTAGCGGTGCTTCATTGCAGCATGCATGCATTTACTGCATCAGCACTGCTGTGCTGGGTCGCTGGTGAGTGTATGTGATTGCATGTGCAGTGCACTACACTCTCTTTACAGACTCAGTAGTGCTAGTGCATATGTGACCATACAGCTACATGTACTGTGACAGCATTGGGTATTACGCTCCTCGGCATTAGTCTCATTCAGCACTCTCGGTAGCCTGCTCTAGTGCTGCTGCATTACGCACTGCCCGCTACTTTTCGTAGTTACAGCACTCTGGCGCTAGAGCGACGAGCTATCTTTTAAATGTCTGTAGTGCCTCCACCATGGCTGGTAGCTCGGCTTGCATGCTTAAAGGGGAAGTTAAGGCAAAAATTAAAATTTTACCAGTTGTAGTCTTCGTGGTGCTGAGTCGAATGGTCTTGGTCCGAGAAAGCTGAGACGCTCCCTTCCTACTTGAATCCCAATCGAACTCGCACACTTCCACCGAAACTGGGTGACTGCGCCCTACTAGATGGGGATTTGTATGCAAAATGTCACTAAAAGCGCCCTTTCGTTCTTATAAAAGCACGGATGACCGCGATTGGCCCATATGTTGTAGACTTTTGGACGCTGAGTCAATTGGTTTTGGTCCGAAAAGGCTGCGATACAGCGTTCCTCCTTTATTCCCAATCGAACATGGTTGAACAAGCAGTCACGTGCTCCTGCGTACACCAGTCACTTGGTCACCGTGCCTGCAGGGTACAACTTACTAGCCTGTTTGACCTTTTTTGGGTGCAGCCCTGTCACTCGAGTTGAACTCGAGTTGAACCTTGGTGTGAAAGTTGTCGCCTGCTGGCGTGGTGACCAAGTGATTTGGGCACCCAGGAGCACGTGACCACTTGTTCAACCATGTTCGATTGGGAATAAACCAAGACCATTCGACTCAGCACCCCGAAGACTACAACTGGTGAAATTTTAATTTTTGCTTTAACTTCCCCTTTAAAGCTCGTAGCTGTTCTGACAAGGCCTTTATGGTCGAAACAGCTTGCTGTCTACAGTATTGGGTGTACTGTATGTCTACAAGTTTTCGACCCATTCAGATTTCGGCCTCCCAGGGCTAAAACCCATTTCAGCCCGTTCAAATTTTCGGCCTGTACTGCTGCCGCCTGTAAACACTGTCACACTGAACCTTGCAAAACAAAATGTCACTCTCCTAGCCCGAACATTTGGTGTACTAATCATGAATTTGAATCGCAGTGAAGAGACTGATATTTGAGTCGAGGAGCGAAATTTCATACATGCATTCACAACTACAGTAAAACATGTGACTAGTGACCAGCCTGCTACTACAGACCACTGTGACTAGTGACCAGCCTGCTACTACAGACCACTGTAATTAGTGACCAGCCTGCTACTACAGACCACTGTGACTAGTGACCAGCCTGCTACTACAGACCACTGTGACTAGTGACCAGCCTGCTACTACAGACCACTGTGACTAGTGACCAGCCTGCTACTACAGACCACTGTGACTAGTGACCAGCCTGCTACTACAGACCACCGTGACTAGTGACCAGCCTGCTACTACAGACCACCGTGACTAGTGACCAGCCTGCTACTACAGACCACTGTGACTAGTGACCAGCCTGCTACTACAGACCACTGTGACTAGTGACCAGCCTGCTACTACAGACCACTGTGACTAGTGACCAGCCTGCTACTACAGACCACCGTGACTAGTGACCAGCCTGCTACTACAGACCACTGTGACTAGTGACCAGCCTGCTACTACAGACCACTGTGACTAGTGACCAGCCTGCTACTACAGACCACCGTGACTAGTGACCAGCCTGCTACTACAGACCACTGTGACTAGCGACCAGCCTGCTACTACAGACCACCGTGACTAGTGACCAGCCTGCTACTACAGACCACCGTGACTAGTGACCAGCCTGCTACTACAGACCACTGTGACTAGTGACCAGCCTGCTACTACAGACCACCGTGACTAGTGACCAGCCTGCTACTACAGACCACTGTGACTAGCGACCAGCCTGCTACTACAGACCACTGTGACTAGTGACCAGCCTGCTACTACAGACCACCGTGACTAGTGACCAGCCTGCTACTACAGACCACTGTGACTAGTGACCAGCCTGCTACTACAGACCACTGTGACTAGTGACCAGCCTGCTACTACAGACCACTGTGACTAGTGACCAGCCTGCTACTACAGACCACTGTGACTAGTGACCAGCCTGCTACTACAGACCACTGTGACTAGTGACCAGCCTGCTACTACAGACCACCGTGACTAGTGACCAGCCTGCTACTACAGACCACTGTGACTAGTGACCAGCCTGCTACTACAGACCACTGTGACTAGTGACCAGCCTGCTACTACAGACCACTGTGACTAGTGACCAGCCTGCTACTACAGACCACTGTGACTAGTGACCAGCCTGCTACTACAGACCACCGTGACTAGTGACCAGCCTGCTACTACAGACCACTGTGACTAGTGACCAGCCTGCTACTACAGACCACCGTGACTAGTGACCAGCCTGCTACTACAGACCACTGTGACTAGTGACCAGCCTGCTACTACAGACCACCGTGACTAGTGACCAGCCTGCTACTACAGACCACTGTGACTAGTGACCAGCCTGCTACTACAGACCACTGTGACTAGTGACCAGCCTGCTACTACAGACCACCATGACTAGTGACCAGCCTGCTACTACAGACCACTGTGACTAGTGACCAGCCTGCTACTACAGACCACCGTGACTAGTGACCAGCCTGCTACTACAGACCACTGTGACTAGTGACCAGCCTGCTACTACAGACCACCGTGACTAGTGACCAGCCTGCTACTACAGACCACTGTGACTAGTGACCAGCCTGCTACTACAGACCACCGTGACTAGTGACCAGCCTGCTACTACAGACCACTGTGACTAGTGACCAGCCTGCTACTACAGACCACTGTGACTAGTGACCAGCCTGCTACTACAGACCACCGTGACTAGTGACCAGCCTGCTACTACAGACCACTGTGACTAGTGACCAGCCTGCTACTACAGACCACCGTGACTAGTGACCAGCCTGCTACTACAGACCACCGTGACTAGTGACCAGCCTGCTACTACAGACCACCGTGACTAGCGACCAGCCTGCTACTACAGACCACTGTGACTAGTGACCAGCCTGCTACTACAGACCACTGTGACTAGTGACCAGCCTGCTACTACAGACCACTGTGACTAGTGACCAGCCTGCTACTACAGACCACTGTGACTAGTGACCAGCCTGCTACTACAGACCACTGTGACTAGTGACCAGCCTGGTACTACAGACCACTGTGACTAGCGACCAGCCTGCTACTACAGACCACCGTGACTAGTGACCAGCCTGCTACTACAGACCACCGTGACTAGTGACCAGCCTGCTACTACAGACCACTGTGACTAGTGACCAGCCTGCTACTACAGACCACTGTGACCAGCGACCAGCCTGCTACTACAGACCACCGTGACTAGTGACAAGCCTGCTACTACAGACCACCGTGAATAGTGACCAGCCTGCTACTACAGACCACCGTGACTTGTGACCAGCCTGCTACTACAGACCACTGTGACTAGTGACCAGCCTGCTACTACAGACCACCGTGACTAGTGACCAGCCTGCTACTACAGACCACCGTGACTAGTGACCAGCCTGCTACTACAGACCACTGTGACTAGTGACCAGCCTGCTACTACAGACCACTGTGACTAGCGACCAGCCTGCTACTACAGACCACCGTGACTAGTGACCAGCCTGCTACTACAGACCACTGTGACTAGTGACCAGCCTGCTACTACAGACCACTGTGACTAGCGACCAGCCTGCTACTACAGACCACCGTGACTAGTGACCAGCCTGCTACTACAGACCACCGTGACTAGTGACCAGCCTGCTACTACAGACCACTGTGACTAGTGACCAGCCTGCTACTACAGACCACCGTGACTAGTGACCAGCCTGCTACTACAGACCCCCGTGACTAGTGACCAGCCTGCTACTACAGACCACTGTGACTAGTGACCAGCCTGCTACTACAGACCACTGTGACTAGCGACCAGCCTGCTACTACAGACCACCGTGACTAGTGACCAGCCTGCTACTACAGACCACTGTGACTAGTGACCAGCCTGGTACTACAGACCACCGTGACTAGTGACCAGCCTGCTACTACAGACCACCGTGACTAGTGACCAGCCTGCTACTACAGACCACTGTGACTAGTGACCAGCCTGCTACTACAGACCACTGTGACTAGCGACCAGCCTGCTACTACAGACCACCGTGACTAGTGACCAGCCTGCTACTACAGACCACTGTGACTAGTGACCAGCCTGCTAC